GGGGTTTAGGGCTTATAGGCTTTAGGGTTTAGGGCTTATAGGGTTTAGGGTTTAGGGCTTGGGGTTTGGGGTTTAGGGCTTATAGGGTTTGGGGTTTAGGGCTTATAGGGTTTGGGGTTTAGGGTTGAAGGTTTAGGGCTTAGGGTTTCTAGGGTTTAGGGTTTAGAGTTTTGGGTTTAGGGGTTTGGGTTTACGGTTAGTGGCTTAGGGCTTAGGGTTAATAGGGCTTATATAGGGGCCCGAAGAATTTATAGACTGTGGTTCATAGTATGTATACTCGTACCAACAGGGGTAGCACCGACGCCTGTACGCTGAGGCAAGAGCTTTCGGCGTGCTTTGTATGCGGTATTTCCCTATTACCGAAAACCTGACACCTCACCCGTAAACCCAAACCCCTAAACTTTAAATAGCTAAACCCTAATCCCTAAATAGTTAAACCCGATTCCCTAAAACCCTAACCCCTAAATAGCAAAACCCTAATCCCTAAACCCTAATCCCTAAACCCTAAACCCTCATCCCTGAACTCTAGGCTAAGTTCTAAACCGCAAGTCCCAACACGAAACCCTAAACCCTGAACCCGGAACCCTAACTCCTAAACCCTAAACCCTGAATCCTAAACCCTGAACCCTAAACCCTCAACCTTCAACCCTAAACCCCACAAAGTCATGAACATCGTTCAAAGCCTAAGGATCCGTGTACTCATGTAGTATATACATTGGCCGTAATGTCGTTCCTAGTCAGCTACTCTAGGGCCCAAGTATATACTATAATGAATGTAAGGGCCTTCAACATTAGAATAGGGTTTTGGGCTCCCTTATAGTATAGCTATGGCAAGGAACCCTAAGGAATCATAGTGGAACCCTAAACCCTAAACCCTAACAAAAAACATCTTGCAACAATCAAGATGGCCTCTGAGTTCCAAAGCCACTGCTGGAGCCGGGCGCATGGCGAAGATGGCGTTCCAAAGCTCCCAGTGGGCGTTCGAAAAGCCTAGGCTTTTTGGAGGGTTTTGGCGGGTTTTGAGGGGGTTTGCGGCGTTTAGTATGGGATTCTATAGCATCTTCTGTCGCCTTATTGTTGGCCGAATAACTCCGTTAAGTGGACCACGATGATTCAGTTTAGGCGTAGGGCTTAAGCGGCTTTTGGACTTAGGGGTCAGCAGCTCCGGATCAAGCAATCCCCAGTCGAGCCTGATGTTTCGAATCTGGAAAACTCTGCTTTGCTTATCTTGTTTTGCTCATGGATTTATCGTTGTTACGAGCTACCAACATAGTCACAGACCGCTTCGACTCAATAGGCTTTCCACACAGCAGAACCCTCAACCCACCCTACTGAGTTAACCATCGATTTTACCTTGTTGTGGCTTTAGCGTTCAGAATCCGAGTTTAGGGTTTAGGGTTCAGGGTTTGGGTTTAGGGTTCAGCTTCAGGCTACTATTCCAACAGTTATACTGGTAAGTGTTGATATTTTGGAGTTCGAACTACTATGTCAGGATTCCGAATACTGTGTTGCAGGTGAGCACAGTTCCCTAAACCCTAAACCCTAAACCCTAACAAACCCTAAACCCTAAACCCTAAACCCTAAACCCTACTCGTTTAGGGTCCGGACCAATAGGCCGCCAAGCCTTGCACACAACTCTCCGGGTCTTGTTCACAAATTTCCGGGCCTGGTCCACGAACTTCTTTAGGGGTTTGGGTTTAGGGTTTAGGGTTTAGGGTTTAGGGTTTAGGGTTTAGGGTTTAGGGTTTAAGCATACATGTGGAAGGGATGTGTAAGTGTAGGGAGTAGGCACATGAACGCTTAAGAGAGGGGCCAAGGTAATTAGAATATGGTTTGGGGCTCATTATACTATAATTGTTATAAGGACCCCCCCCCAAAAAAATAGTATTGGTAACTATTTGAATTTAGGCCCCTACATCCGGCCCTCCAAACTCGAAGCTCTAAGCTCCCTAAGCCCTAAGCCCTAAGCCCTAAGCCCTAAGCCCTAAACCCTAAACCCTAAACCCTAAACCGAAACCCTAAAAACCTTGGGTCCCGAGGACTGTGGCCACATGG